GACACTCTTCCGTGGCCTGGGCTGGCTCGGCAAAGGGGGAAGTGAACCAGCCAAGGGGTGGTTAAGGCGAAGAGGCCGGTAGCCAGACGAGGATGAAAGCCAGAGGATCGTGGAAGCCGTGCTCAAGTAGACAAGGGACACGTCAGCCGCCATCCTTCTACTCAGCCTTTTATAGATTATTCACGTACAATGGTCGAGTGACAAGTGGCGGGCCACGCCGCCATGGAGCGTCGGATCCGCTTCCCTCCTTCACCCCACGTATGAAGTCTCAATTTTTCCTTTTCTTGTTTCCTTCCTTTTTTTCTGCGACGTGTAGGCGTACGCAGGTCGAGTTGACAAAGGAGCAGATAACGAAGCAATCAATTTCGGGGCCCCTTTTTCCCGGCGACAGTGTTCTCGACGATCTGAACGATGGAGTTAACTTTGATTAGGTCGATTTGGACTTGGACATCTTCGCGGTAATGCTACACTTTTTCATCCGTTGATTTTAGACATTTATTCGTGTTACAGCAGTGATTAAGTAAAGAAAATGGTTTTAACACTGGAATTGCCGTACAAATCGAAATAATGGTTTCGGTTTCCTTGTTTCGCAATTATTGATATTTTCAAAGCATTGAATAGTCGAAATAATTTTGAAAATAAATAGTTTCATTTGAATGCTATAATGAATATCTGAAGAAACCGAAAATAATCTATTATTACAATATCCATAAGGATTACATATCAATCGTATTAAATGCTCGGTAGTTCTAGTGTTAAAGAAGAACAATTCGGTAAAAGTAATTTAATCTCGAACGATCACTACGATATAACTTAGGTATTTTGCTGGGAAAAGTTATGTTTTAGAATGATAGCATACCGAAATTCCGTAGATTAATCAAAACGTCAAGCAGGTTTATACGCCAGCAGCGTGTCAGCCGACGCGTTAAAGAATCCGTCATCGTTTGTCCTCGGTGGAGCGACAATAACGTTGTCGGGAAGCGTTCTGTCGCATATTGTCACTTCGGAATTCAACGAGGAGCAGATGCGGCGCGTGTCGAATTACGGGATCGATGAATGTTTCGTGCGATATCGCGAGCACGCCGCGCCCGTGATTCCGTTCCCGTAGATCGTCATAAACGCGAAAGTCGTAAAACGCATGAGGAGAAACGCTCGGCGCAGTAGTTGGCCGAGCGCATGTGAATGCAGACCGTCGGATACCAGGCGGCACAGTGTTTTTTTCCCCTCCTAGCATTCGGTATCGCGCTGTTTGGTGTTTTAATGTTGATTGGACGACTGCCGATTCAGCCGACGTTCGTTTGCCACGATTGTTGTTTCGGCGTCGAACGTGGCCAAGCGAGAATTTTCAAAATTCGACCGGCCAGCGCATACGCTCCGTAGCAACGCCGGATAAATTGACTACGAAATCGCGAGCGCCCGCGGATTTATTTCCTTTCGAGTGGCCGCGCATTGTTCCGCGAGTATTTTTTCGAAGAATCTTTCGACGAAGTACCAGCCCATCGTTGAATTTGATATATATTCTTTCGTTATTTGTATACGTTTTACTTAATGTTAGTAAGTTTCAATTTTTGCGAATAAAATCTTAACTGTTGTCTGCTTTTTACTGTGCTGTGTTGTGTCATGACTTTATGTTGGAACTGAAAGCTTTGGTAATCAGATAAAATAATTACTACGTATTTTTGGTTATATAAATTCTTTCTATTTGATGTATCATTTCTCTTCCAAATAAAAATTTAACAGAAGATACGTTTATTTTCCAACTTCGTCATTGGCCTCATCCCCGCTTTTGGAGAAGATTTAGACGTCGGGTGAGTTTGACAAAATGTGCTGGCGACGTTGACGGTTACCGACCGGAAACTCTCTCGTTGGTAATCATTCTCACTTTATTACCAGCAACTGATTTATTGCTTGATAAAGGACAGGTATATGGGTGGGTATTGTTATTATAAGGAGGGATCTACGGGAGCCATGAAGCTGCATGTAGCAGCTGAATAGTGGAGGATGTACGTGTGTGTGTAACAGGCGGGATGAGTTTAAGTAAACGCTTGAATATGAAAGCCAGTTCGTTTGCAGTGTGCACGTACGGAAATTTTGATGGAGAAACACTCTCGTGCCATCGTTTTGGTAACTCAACAAATTTCAACGATAAATTTCGACTTAAAACGTTGATATTCCAAGATAGCGCGCTACGTGTATACATCGGAATAACAAATGACACGTCATAGTGATGTATCCGGTTAGCCAAAAAGTCTTCCTGGTTTTCTTCAATGCGGAGAGTATACTTGTTAAAAAATATAGGATTCTTTACATAGATGGAATAAGGGAACTACTTGAAAGGTGACAAATTTGTCAAATATAACGGGTAATATATAGTTCAATAAAATGTAATTTGATAAAGCGAAGTTTATTCCTCAGCCTCTTTTAAAATGCACAAACACTTTCTAACAAACTCAATATCTTGTTTCTCAAGAAAACTCTTCTCCTTTTGTTCGTATGTGAACCGAACAGCGTGAGTCCTCGATACGATCACGGCGATAGTAGGCCGGATCAACGGAGGGCTTAAATCACCGTTTCGATTATTATCGACAGCAAAGATGTTGTTCTGACGCGTTTCTGTGATCTTTTACAGCGACAGAGATAACTTTAATGAAACACTGCGTTTATAGAACGTGAGATTGTACTTGTTAGTGTGTGGTGTAATTGATTGTGTAGTATGAGCTACGACTGTCGATTGACGACTGACAGTGTCTATTAAAGACATAGTGTCTACTGGAGACTGATGAGTTGCAACTGCTATTTGCGTTTTTTGTCTGATGACTGCTGCCCGAAGACTGACTGTCCGCCCAGAGGGAGGATGTCGAAAAGTAGGTTCGCGACGACCTCCAGAACTAAATGGTGAGTTTGAGGGAATGTCATTGGACGATGACATTGGGAAGCAAATGTTGTGTGGGTACGTGCGTCACCGACTTTGTGTCGAGCAGGTTCATAAAACCGTAGGGGAGTGGACCTGCTAATACCGTGGAGGGGTGGGTCTGCACGCAAGGAATAGTAATGCTCGCCTATCTGGTGTTAATGATTATCCTTTCTTTACCGAAATAATGATTATGGCCAGGAAACACAACCTCGTGAACTGAGTAATCCTGTGCTAAGAACAGCATGTAAATTGGAGAAGGAAGTCCCTTATGTTACACGGACGAATTAAGTTGCAGGAAATTTCCAGCTCAGGTTGTGCTCCGACGCATTGAAAATTGAAAGTTTCAATGATGAGTTCATCTCAATGACTACTGAAAAATTGGGAGCATTGAGATGTCTTCCGGAAGTTGCGCCCCGAAGCACTTTTCCTACACCAATTTTCAAGAGGGGAAATACAAAAATTATTTTCTAAGAAAATTCACGTACCTGGTAAAATTGACTTTTTCTTCGAACAAAGCATCTTCGGTAAAACGTCAAGTAACTTTAAAATAAATTCACTTTGTCTAAAAAAATCCGACAATAGATCTTCTGATTTCTTCGCGAGTCTAATGCCATGCTATAAGATAAAATCTAACCGAAATACCACGAAACGAAACACCTCGAAATAGATCTCTTCCATAATAAGGAACGCGCCACGTGACTCGTGCAATCAGTAGGAGCCTTTAATCGGTCATCAAACAGTTGGTGTAACCGAAGCTTCATCAGCCGTCCGCTTAAGCGTGACATTCGATTGCGCAAACAAGCCGGAGTACCTGCCAATTTCGCGGGTCCGCAATATTGTATCCCGTGTCCGTAAATTTCCCGAACGATGTACAAAAATGGCCGAAGTTCACGCGACACTGGGCTCGACACGCGGACGTGTCCCCCACGAATTTGGGTCGTCGGTGGAGAGGGAACCGGTCCCGAATAATGTCCGTGTATATCGCGTGTTGAAAACGGCCGACGGAATCGTGTCGTGTAGCTTGATAATACACCAGGCGGAGGACTCAGTCTCACGGCCGAGAAACGAGAAAGGATAAGGCGTCGTGTTGCGAAGCGGACTTAGACGTTTGGAACATGCCGAGGTCCATCAAAAATTCAATCCATACGACTGTTCTCGTTGTTTCTTGCCGGGGCGAGAGGGAAAGGGAGAGAGAACGGGCGCGAAACGTTCCGTGGAATTCTCGATGCGACGCATGGAGAATGACGAATGTATGTACGGTGTTCCCGGGTGGACGGGAAACGGAAAAAGGTGAGATTTCGCGCAGCGAAAGAGAAAAAGGAATCAAGAGGGGGAAAAGGAACGGCGGAGTTGCATCGGAGAAATTGGCGCCTGCTTTGGTTCTTGAAGCATGTGTGCCCCATAAATAACATGTAAATATTTTCAATAACTGCCGGGGCAACCCCAGCATGAAAAATGCAAACCGCTTTGCGTCCGGTCCTAGCCGCGCGCCGCCACGGTATCGTAACGTGTGCATCCAGACGGGCTCCTCCAACCCCCGACGAGCCACTCCAGATCGGCGGCCGCACTCTTCAACCCCCTCGACCCCCGCCCACCTAGATCCCACGCCAAACTATCTTTTAATATATCTGTATGTACACGGTGTCCCGCGCGAAATTTATGGTACCGGACGCCGGCCGATATTTGTTTCACTCGAGCGGCGACTTCGCCCTCCGGCCGCGCCTTATATGTTATACGCCAGCCAGTGAGCGGCCCCGTTCGGAAAAAGAGCCAGCGTTCGGGACGAAATAATTCCGGGAATATGGAATCGTGACTCTCGCGCTGCGTTCCGTTGCGCCAAGCACACCTGAACGCCGCACCGGACCGTGAATCTAGATAGCGCGAATATAAATCTTTCCATCGCGTAATAAATTTCAGGTTCGGGTTCTAGGAACGAGATATAAATTGCGGCATTTTTGATTTTAATAAACGTAGGAGATATTTGTTCGTGCTATTCGTTGCATATTATGTAAGTGGTTCGCGTATTGGAATCACGATTCACCGGCTTATGGAAATGAAAGTAACGGATGGTTGTTATTTGTTGCAGGGGCTTCGGGTTCATCACGTTCGCAGATCCGGCGAGTGTAGATAAAGTACTGGCACAGGGTAACCACGAGTTGGACGGCAAGAAAGTGAGTATTCAGCGACCGTTTATATTATCCCCTCGAGTGTGATCTGTGTTTTAACCCTTTGCACTTGAGAGGTGACTCTCAGTTATTACTTGATTAGGGGTAACAAGATAGTAAGTTTTCTTATATTAGATTCAACTCTCTACAATACATGAATATATGAAATATTGAAATATTCAGATGAAATAACTTTGTTTCTTAATTTATGTATATTTCCTTATTAATTAGTCATAAAGAATGTTGTCTTTACCATCGAAAAATGTTGGAGTATTTCCAATGAAAAAATTTCAAGTGCAAAGGCTTAAATCTTCTTTTCCAACTGTTCCGCCGTTACAAATGTGAACTCCTTTGTATCTACGCGCATGAAACACGCTTAAAGAAGCGAGAATTCGGGATGTCGTACCGAAAACGCTTCAATTAAGAAATTATCGTCCCATGCAATTATCAATTGCGTTCTTTATTAGCGAAAACGTTTGTAAAGAAAATTTCTTCCATCTTCATCGCCTCTCGCCGAGTTTCTTGCTCCGCGGACAAATCGAAACCGGCGAGTAATATTTGTCTGTCGACGGGATCAATTAACCGGGACTGTACTACATCAATTATTTCGATCAACAAACTCCGGTGGAGGTTAATTGCTCTCGCGGCACACATTTGATTGCGGCGGCCGTGCGAACCGATTTTTCTTGTGCGACCGACTTGTCTTCTTGCGCCGCGTGCAATCGATAACGCGGTCGTCCGTCTTCGTTCGGCGCGCGGCCGACGTTACCGTTCCCTCCGTCTATCGTGCTGTCCCTCATTAACCCTTTTTCTGCCCCGTCACTGTTTTACCAACGCGTCTCACGGGCCTCCGAATGGATATCGGTGACCTTAAGTGGTCGTTAGCCACGGCAAACTAACGATCCCCTAATTAGTGCGTAATAGAACGCCACTACCCAAGGCATGCCCAGTTTTCCGCAGCCTAACAACTTCTCCCTGCTGCTTTCCGATAAGTATCTCAACGCCGTGAAAAAGTAGTCCGGCCCGGTGTGACTCCTCGCCCCGCGTCGAAGACGATACCGACCATTCGTGACACTTGGACAACCAGGGCGAACGATTTGACCGTCCCCGGAGAAATCGGAGCGCGTATTTCTCTCTGTAGCCGGCATTATTCGCCTGGGAAAATGTATCGATGTATCGTTCGATGGAATTCAACGCGCTCCAGTGGAAATTGCTTTATAAGAAAATTATTCAACCCCTTGCTTCCCGTTGGCGTCCCTACGGTGACACACAAAATTCAGAAAATATTTAACCTCTGCTTACACGAGATCGGAAGAAGCATTTAAATAAATAGCAATTGAGAAATGTATTTGAGATTGTTTCCGAATCAGTGATCTCAATTTTCAGAAGCTTCACTGCTGGAAGCTTCAAACAGAAAGCTTTAAAAGGAGTTTTATGGTTAAGTTGATATAAAATAATAACGGTTGATATCATATAGCTTCTGTTCTATATGATAAGCAGTTGCAAATTATTCAACGATCTTTAAACATTTACTGAGTAATTCCCTTAAACTCTCGTAGCTTCGATGTACCAATCCATACTAAAATATGAAAACCAGCTGACTCGTTCAATTTCGCTCAATCCGAAGACCAATAAAAACATTGAAATGATCGGAAAATTTTCACCAGCAGCGTAGACGATGACAGAAATCATAATAGGATGCGGTTGCATAGTCCTTGAGCTCGCTGGCATCTCATCCTCGCGCGCTATCCAGGAGGTGTTAGACGCCACCCAGCTCGGCGCGGCGCGGCGCAGTGTTCTCGCAATTTGCATTAGTCGAGCGAATTACGCGAAATTTATGTGAGTCTGGATACACCGGCGGCAACGGCGCGGTTCTACGGTTAATACGTATTCGGAGTACTTACGGAAGCGACCGCGCAGTCGTCGTACTTATGGCTCTGTGGACAGCTAATGTCCGCAACTATTTCTCTCTGTCCGCCCTATCCGCTCTTGTCCGCCTATTCGTTCCTGCCTTACGGTATTATTCCTGGCGTATTGTCTCCCCGGCAGAAACGTATTTGCCAAACGATGGCGTGTCGCTGTTTTCGACGATTAATCTCTGCCAAAAGCATTGCGTTCCGATGGCACGGCGGGTACGCAACGACGCGTGTCGCCCGGGCCGCATACCTCGTAATTGTCTAAGCGCGCGTAAAACCAGCCCAGCCCCCCACTCCCGCCACCTGAAACCATCCCCGGGAAAAGTTTCCTCGTCGAAAACATTGTCGCGACTGTTTGCACGCGTTGCCGCCATTAATGCGCAACCCCTGCATCCGTGGAATTCGTTTAATTCGTTTGTTTGCTCTCGGCCAGGCCCGTTCGACGTATCCGCGAGACGAGCGGCCTCTCCCCACCGCCGCCGCTTGTTTGCCAGTTACCCGGATGACGCTCGTCGGGGGTGGAGAAATGAACAGCGGCGGGGTGGGATTCCAGACAAACGGGTTTCAATGTTCATTCATATGTGGAGACTCCGTCCGCGGGGAAATGTATTGACACGAATTTTGCGGCGAGTGAATGGCTGCTGGTTGATCCCTCATTTCAATAATGTTCGTATGATAGATTCATTACTCCATTGCGGGGCAATGACGTTCCGTTCGTAAGAACATTTCCGTCGCCGTGTTCTTGCGAATTTGGTTTCATTTCGGAATCTGGGGAATATTTTTGTCTACCTGAAAATTATCGTAGTGTTGTAAATTTTTGTTAGAATTATTTAACACTAGAACTACCGAGCACTTAATGCGATTGATATGTAATCTTTACAAAGATTGCAGCAATACATTGTTTTCGGTTTCTTCGGACATTCGTTATAGTGTTTCAGCAAAACTATTTATTTGGAATTTCGAATATTTAATACTTTTACAATATCAATAATTACAGAATAAGAAAATTAACATGAGTCATTTTGACGCGTACAATAGTTCTATTGTTAATACATCAAAGAATACTTCATCCTCCCACATTCACTGATACTAAACAGGCTAAATCGCGATACTAAATCGCTAGTGTTAAGTAGGCACCTATTACCATGAATATTCCACAATATTTGCAAAGTCATTCAATTACAAAGTGCACCCAGTTTTCGCCAAATGTGTCCTATCATACGAATGCACTTTCTCTCAATGTACATTTATCACAGCCCGTAATTAGACTATTTCCCAATCAAATTCCAAAGCTAGCTTCCTTCCATTCAACGGCGCCCGGTATATCTCATCCTCATTCTCAGCGTCCTCGAGATTTGTTCTTTGTTTGTTTTCTTTTTCCCTCCGCCCCGTTGCAGCTGCCTTTTGTCCTCCACCTTCGTTCACCTTCGCCGCACCCCCGCCGGCTCTATTCCGGTCGACGCAAGACGCGGCGGAAAGCTACGCGACGGGAGTGGTGGTTGGGGAGACGGCGCGCGGCGTGCAAGAAATGCAAGCCGGCGAGAGCGCGCACGACTCTCGTCCACTGACAAGCTTCGTCACATTAATTAGCGGATCGTTCGTCTCCGCTTGCGTTAATGAACGCTCTCATGTAATTCTCGAGTGGCCCTTCGGTCGTGTTGCGCGCGAGAGAAAATAGACGAAACAAAGGGGGAGAAGAAGCGAGTTCGGGCACGGACCGGAAGTCGCGCGGCACCGCCGGCTCATCCTCTCTGTCTCGAACCGTATCGACGAACTCGCGCATCCCGCGTATAAAATTCGATGTGGCGGTCCCGAGGGAGAGGGAGAAAAAAGGTCTCGTTTACACACAGTCGAGTAGATCGTTCGCGGTTACCTACTTCGCTCACTTTCATCCGTTTTACATTTCACTCGAGAACACTCTTCCGTTCATTTCTTATTATCTACCAACCTGCCCCCACCCTCGACCCGCTTTTCCCCTTCCGACCATCCTCAGGACTCTTTGAATTATGAAAACGAAGAAGTGTCTGCGCACTCGACGACGATACGAGGAAGCACGTAATCAGCGGTATTCTTCTTTCGCAATGAACCAGCTGGAATATCGCTGGGACGAGCACCAAGAAATTCGGTGTGAAATGATAATGAAACGATCGTCCTTACCCGCTCGACGGCGCGCCGGCGAAATGGAACGGGAACGGTTGACGGAGTTTTATATTCTTTTCTCGCGCGACGAACTCTTTCCGTTGGTCGTTGAGATTGACGAACCAGTATGTATGTAGGTATGAGGATATTCATTTAGAAGGGGATTGTATATCGACTTCGAGTATTCGAAAGAATGTCGTTGAGCGATTGGTTCTCTTTTATGGTGTGAGTATTTGTGATGAATAATTACAGTGCTGGTAAAACTGTTTGAAATAATGCATAATTTTTGTTACGGATCTGATTGCGTTGATTTAATGGTTTTTTGGCGTGAGTAGTTAATATATTTTTTGTGCGAAGCGTGAAATTGACTGCAATTGAAATAAAAATTGAAAGCCTGTTTTGAAATCATTAGATTTTTATTCGATGCTATTCTTTACGCAGCAAATGGTTTACGAAGGATTTACACTTCAAGACTGAAATTGAACACCGCCTATTTTCCGACTGAATATAACCAGAAGTATTATTTATCACTTAAACTGAAAATTACGTGAACCAAACAATCAAATTATTGTTCGTGGAATCATTATAAATGAGTAGAAGAATGCGCAGTAAATTGTGACGTTTTTACTGTCAAGCGTGAGTCACCGGACAATGACAGGAACGTTAATATTATCGAAAATCACGGGCAACGCATGCGTGAGAGATTTCGCGAACCGATAGCGCCGCCGTTTCTCTCTATTTGTCCCGGACAATGATTTCGCAACCTGCCGCGTAAGCACATGCAGCCTGTCGCTTATGGCCGATCAGAATGGCCTTCAAATTGCGCTTAATCGGCTTGGGTTCTGATTAAAAAATACATGAATTGCACGTGTCGCGGTTGTGCAGCATCATTTGCTTTCTGTTTAAGCGTGCCGCGCGTACCGCCAATAGTTAAATCAATCGGTGCTGACT